CCCGTTCTGGCCACAGCCATGAGTTAGGTGCCCAGAGCACGTCTCCCAGTCCGACAGCAGCAGGGAGGTGTTCCCCATGCACAGCCAGGAGCACGTGTCCTGTCCCAAAGCCTCTCTGAGTTGTTTTTTGGTTTTCCATTTCAGCTTTTCCTCTTCCACCTGCACACGGTCCCAGGAGGGAACTTCACCCAGTGCGTTACACACGGGAGTTTCCGAACACACTGGGAGGAAACCATCTACAACATGTTCACCTTCACCACCCTCTACGTCACCCCCCTGAGCGTCATGATCGTTTGCTACAGCCGGATCATTTGGGAGATCAGTAAGCAGCTGAGGAACAATAAAGGTAAGCAAGTTGCATCCCTTTGGTGTCCACCATGACTCTACGACTGAATCTCCTCAGTGTGGAGCGGTGTTGGGTGTGTCTCAGCACCCTTTGAAGGGCAACTCAACTAAGGGGTTGTACACAAACTTCCTGGCCCCTCTCCTTGCTGTCTTCTGCTTTTTGTGGGCCATGGATCAGAGCTGGTCTCTCCTCTCTGGCAGAAGCACGGTTAAGGATGGTTACAGGCTGATTTTGCCCCATCTCCAGCTATCCTTTTGTCTCTGCCTGGCAGGTTTGATAAGAAATCAAAATGACCACATCTCCAAGGCACGCATGAAGACTCTCAAGATGACCATAGTGATTGTTGCCACCTTCATCATCTGCTGGACTCCATACTACCTCCTGGGCTTGTGGTACTGGTTCCAGCCAGCCATGATCCAGAAGATGCCAGAGTATGTCAACCACAGCTTCTTCCTCTTTGGCTTGCTGCACACATTCACCGACCCCATCATCTATGGGTTGTACACCCCCTCTTTTCGGGAGGACATGCAATTGTGTCTCAAGGGCATTGAAACAGCCATTGCCAGGCACAGGAGACACAAACCTGTCCCAGTCTTGGAGAAGAATATCAAGGATGGTGCTGTAAATAGTGGGGTGGCATCAGGGGCCTCCAATGGGACAACTGTCAACACAGTCTGCTGAAGAGACGTACCTACAAGGCGATGGGAGGCACAGCTTCGGGGGCTGTTTTGTTCCATGGGATCATTCTAGAGATTGTTATAAGGAGGTTCACCACCCAGCTTTGGTGGGAGAGGGTCTCTGACCAGAAACTGGGAATGTGTCTCCTGCCTGCACTCAGGGTGAAAACCTTTTGGAGGTATTTATAGTCGTTCTTCCATATTCTGGCAGCCCCATGGCAACTAGAAAGCCGTCCTTTTTCTACTGTACATGCTCTCTAGCCCTGATTTTCTGAGCAAGCATCTGCCGTCAGCCAACATCAACCCTGGGAGGAGACACGCTGGCTCCTTCGTGGTCCAGGGCCATGTGTCTCAGGGTGACCAATCCATAATTGCCCTTTGCACCTATGCCAAAGTGTGGAGCTGATGCACAGTGCTACGGGGTGTCACCCTGAGAGGCTGCGAAGGGCCTTTGGCTCTGTTTTCTCCACCTGCTATAGGAAAAGCTCTCCAGAAATTCTGGCTCTCCCAGCTCAGAGCCTGCCTGGTTATCATGGATGAACATTTTAGAATCAAAGACTTGTAAAAGCGTGACTTGGAGTGTGACGGCAAGGTTCGCTCTGATACTTACTGCACAGAGGAAGCACGGAAGGAAAAATTGAGGTAGAATCAATTTGGAATGGTTTGCACCGAGACTGGAGACGTGAAAAGGAAAGGGTTAAGGGATTATATGTGTTTAGGGCTAAAGGACTATATGCGTTCACTCAATCCTTTCTATGGTTTAGCCAAGTTTCCGAAGGTTCAGCATGCTTCTTCACAACTCACTTACCTTCCGCCTGGGCATCTGGTGGTAGTTCACTCTGAAGTTTGAACCCTGCATTTCCTGAAGCAGGCTCTCAGGCACCAGATTTTAGAAAAAATAAATAATTGAAGGGAGTCATGCAGTGGCAGAGTCCCCTCCAAAAAGGGGTCACCAATGAACAAAGAAACCCCTGGGCAACTACACCCTTGCAGACTATTCACCCGCCCCTCACGCAACAGTTTGGTCCATTACTAACATCTGGGTCTGGGGTCTTCTTGCTCCTCATTGGGTCCAAAAAATGATTCTGGCCTGACATCTTCTGACTCCTTGTTGAATTACTTCACTGTCTCTGGCCAGGCCATTATAGAATCACAGAACCATTTAGACTGGAAAAGATCTTTAAGATCATCAAGTCCAACCATCAAGGTGGCACTGCCAGACCCACCACTAAACCAGGTCCCTGAGTAAAGCTAACCAAACAGCAAACTAAAACCCACAACCTTGTGACTCTTAAGTCATTCATTCTATTTAAAGGTTATTTATTCAAGTTAATATATCTTAACCCAAGGTGTCCTTGCTTAGGGGAGAGCTGACTGGCCTGCAGCCCAGCTGTCGTCCAAGGAGAGTTCAAATTGGGCTCTTCCACTGATCTGTCTCTGGTAAAAGCTCTCATTGCTGGACATCACCACCATGGAGCCACATTGCTGGGCAGGGAGAGCTCAGAGAAAGCTCACTTGGGCTGTAATATCATATTTATGGGATTAAGCAGTTAGTTTAGGTTGGATATTAGGAAAAATTTCGTCACTGAACAGGTTGTTAAACAGGCTGCCTGGGAAAGTGGTTGGGTCACCGTCTCTGGAGGTATTTAAAAGACGTGTAGATGAAGTGCTTAGGGACATGGTTTAGTGGTGGACCTGGCAGTGCTGGGTTAACAGTTGGACTCAATGATCTTAAAGGTCTTTTCCAACCTAAACAATTCTATGATTCTATGGTTCTACGGTTCAGACTGCTACAGTGGGACAGGTATACATGAGACAGGTGTACATGCAGGTTTCCTGGAGGAGTTCTTGGCCTGGCTACAGTTCAGGTCTTCACCTCCTTTTGAGCCTGCACCAAACTAGTGCTGGTTTGGTTAAGTGGGGAGTCAAGCCCATCCATCACACTGGTTCTCCCACGGCCACATGTGTGAAGCCCGGGGAAGGATGTAAATCTCTGGGGAGTGACTAATGTGGAGGTGTTTGTCCCCCTGGGCATGGTGGGGAGGGAGGAGATGCTGCAGGGATGGAGGGGCTTGGCCAAGACAGGTATGAAGAACCTCGTTGAGAAGGGATGGGTTGGGATGTGGTTTCTCCTCGCTTTAGGAGACAGAAAAGTGCCTTTTTCTGGCATGCAGTGGGTGACATGGACACATCCTTACTCATCAGGTCTCTGGGGCACGGGACTGACCAAAAGAGATGGTATTTGGGGAAACCAGAGTGTGAGAACCAGACCTGATGCTGCTTAGCTCCTGTCAGCTGTCTCTATCCCACGTCCCAGGGCTGTCCCCACATTTGCCTCACCCAAAGGGCTTGACCCAAGGCCAGCACCCCGTCTCTGCCCCAAGTTGGGTAGGTGCAGCCATCCTGCAGGTGATGCCTGGGGTGTCCCAGAGAGGAAGGTGATGGGAAGCACCTGTGGGTGGAAGGCCCCATCAGTACTTACGGCTGACAGGTGAGTGCTGGTGGCTTTTGGCTCTGCTGTGAGGGTGAGGGAGGCTGTTGGAGGGATCTGCTGAGCTGTGGTGAGTACATGGGTGTTTTGCTTCCCATCAACGTGCCAGAAGTTGCTTGTGAAGGTGGAGGCTTCTTCTCTGAGTGTGGGTTGAAGACATGGGTTTGTTCAACTGTGTTGTTCTTCTCTGTGTAATTAGAAATAGTGGCTTATTTCTTTGTTCGTTCTCTGCTGATGGTTACCAAATGCATTTTTTTGTTTCTGAAGAGAAATTTAGTTTTGAGTCAGGTGACTCTTTGGTGTTTTGCGAAATCTTTGGGCACTTCAGGAGCTCTGTTCTTGGCAGGAGGCGGTTCCCTGGACATTTCTGAGGCCACTGTAGACTTGCATGAGCTTGTAGACTTCATCAGGACGAAAGAGCTTTTTTTTTGAAAACAACTGTTGACATATTGTGGTTGCGCATGCAGGAAAGCTGGGAGGTGTCTCTCCCCAAGAAAGCAAATCTCCTGTGAGCACGGAGGGGGCTTTCTTGATCCTGTCTCCAAGAGGGACTGGAGGCCCATCCGTCAGAAAGGATCTGCGCTAGTCTTTCTGTGCCCCAGCTAACAAATTATTAAAACTGGAGGGGTGGCACGCAGGTTGGTTGGGGCTGGGTGAGGAGGATATAGAAAGCCACAGCTGAGCTGTAGATGAGTGTTGAGCACTTGCTTTTCCCCATATTAACTATAATTTGTGCTAAACATGCTGCCCAAGGAGAAAAAACGTATTCAATTAGAGCTGCAGGAGCCCAGACTGACTGACGGGGATTAGCACGAGCCTTTTAGGAAGCATCCAAACCCCAATGCGATGCGTAATCGCCGTTTGGCTTTCCTGGGTTCGTTGTGCTCAAGGTTAATTACGCAATGCTAACGGGACTGGGGCTCGCTGCTGCCAGGCTGGCTTGGCTCGGCCACTGCAAAAAAAAGAGTTTCTTGTGAAGTGACAGGAATGACTTGCAGTAGGGGAAGCTCATTTATTCATTAGACACTCATTAGGCCTCTCTGTTTATATTACTGATGATTGCTAATGGGAGGCAGACCTCGAAGGTGTGTTGGTTTCTGGCAAGCCTCAAAGTAAGCAGGAAAATATCTTTAATCTCCTGAAAACATCCTTCATTTGCTTTCTACTGAGTGAGAAAGAACATGTTCAACATTGCTCACACACTTAAGGCCACTCCTTCCTTCCTGCGCTGCAGCAGGGGAGCTAAGAGACCTTCTCTGAGGAGCAAGAAGCACTTTTTTCCTCTGTGGGAGGGACTCACCACCTTTACATCCTGTAGGTATGGTTGAGAGGGCAGAAGGAGATTTGGCTTTAGGTGAAAATGAGGAAAATTGGTGTGCTGGCAAGGGTATGTCCATGGGGGAAACACAGCACATCGCTCAGGATACTTGCAGGTGCTTCACTGCCGCTCCTTCTGCCCGCCTCTTGATACCTTCCTCACCCTGATGCTGATGTTTTGGGAAGGCCAGAGTGCGAGCAAGGTGCCCAAAGTGACAGCTTTCATGGTAGAAGGAAAAATGTCACTAGAAGAGTGTGCTGCCAAGCCGCGTGCCCAGTGTACATAGGAAGGGGGAACGGGCAGGCGGGCAGCATCTCCCCAAGGGAGCTGAGGATCAATCCGGGTCTGGGTCCTGCCAGAGCTGGACCAAAGCCCAGGCGTGGTTTGACTGTCCTTGCATTTCCGATTCTGTATTTCTTAGATCCATTTGTACTTTAAAAAGCAAAAGAATTTTGCATCAAGGGAGTGGTCTTGCTTTTTGTGATGGCTCCTTCTCCTCCCATTGCCTTAAATCCCTGGTCTCCAACAGCACCTGCCCTCCTCCTCAGCTGCCTCCTGACACGTCTCCATGTGTAAATATAATATATATGTGCATATATATAATACTTACATATATATATATAGTCTATTTCCCCTTATAAAAGAAAAATTCTCCCACTTTTTCAAAATCTTCCCATTCCCTCCAGGAAACACCAGCTGCCACGCTGCTTCTTGCAGCCACAGCAGGATCAGATTTGTCCGGCTCAGAAACAACCCCTTTAACATTCACCACAGTAACGTAATGAACACGTTAATAAGCACAGGTAGCTCTATATTTTACAACGCCTCGGCCTCACCCTGGGCTGCCTGCTTCAGACACAGCGGTCCTTTGTTCAGGAGGAAATTCCGATTCATTCCACGTTAGCGTTTTTATAGTACCGCGCGCGTTCAAAGAGCCACAAACCTCGGGTTAATTCATAATATTGTTAGCTACCCACAGTAATTCAGCCGGCTGCATCTCGCCACCTTGGGAAACACATGCTGAAATCAGCAGGGAGCACAGAAAACAAGCGTGGGAGTAGGTCAGTAAGTGTTTTGCTGACCCGCTAAGGTAGAAATGAAGAACCTCAAAGGTATTTATTTTCCCATTGCCTCTGAGGACAGCGTTACCCTGCTCTGCAGATGTGGAGCTGAAGCACTGAGGAGGCTTTGCCCAGCATCGCTTTGAGACTGGGAGAATAAGGGATGGTGCAACGAGCTCATCAAGGGGCACTTGAGGTGCGTCCATCAGGACTCAGCCCCCACCTGCAGCCACCTCTTTCTTCTGAGTCTATTTAAACAGTTCAAAGCAGAAAAAGCTGATTTTACGTTTTGTCCCTTTGATGCCTGCTGATTTAATGGCAGTGCTGGACTGCCCTACGTCTGCCATGAGAGCCCCGGTGGTACTTTTGTCTCTAGGGGCACAGCCTGGAGCAGCTGGTGCAGAAGAACGGCTTGGGACATACACGGTTGCTCTTGCCCCATGCTTGGGAAGAGAGCTCAGCTGAATGGCTTAAAGCCGAATAAAAGCTCTGAATAATATCTTTATTAGGAGATAGCACCGAACGGGCTGCTCCGCCTTCGTTCCTCCTGCTTACTCTTTGGAGTGTGTGCAAATGAACCCCAAGAAGAGACCCTGGCATAAAGTACTTGAATCTGTTGCACAACAAATTGTTAGTTTATATGTATTTTAATTGCAAATCAATGCTGTAATTAGCATGGACGTTTCTTGGGTTGAGGCAATGCAACATACTTCAACTGAGCATTATTAATGGACTGTAAAAGGCAATAGGGAATTGGATTATAATGTTCTTGTTTTGCAAGCTGTATGGTGAATAAATAAATTTGTTCTGGCATCAAAATTAACTGTAATAAATGCTCCTAGCTCCACCCACCAAGAAGAGGGGTTGCTGTAAACAAACTTGTTCTCAGCCTGAAGTTGGAAAACCTGATTACCAGGTCATTATTTCTGGCAATTAGGTACCAGAACAACATCAGAGAAAGAAGAGATTTTCTTTGAGATACTTAATGAGTAAGGCAGTAATCACAGACTCATTTGCTGGGATATGTGATGAGATTTTTTTTGTGTATGTGTGTGTAGTCAGGGTTCACTGTGCAATGAAAACCTACGTTTATCAAGCCTATCCCTAAAAGCTAGGCTGCAAGCTTGAGCTGTGGCACATACCCAGTTTTACTTTGCCTGGGTCCCTGGGCTTTTAATCACGTTTATCCCGTGCTCAGTAACTGAAAAAGGAGCGTCCTCTGATTTAGTTTCAAGTGTTTCAGGAAATAATGGGCAACACTACTGCTAGTTAGTTCCGTGCATTCATGAAGGGAGGGTAAAAACAATTCAGTACAGGCAAAAATGTGAAACCAGAACCCCAAACCTGGGCAGCCCAAATACCCAAAGCCTGTCGGGTGGCAACATAAGTGGGATCCTTCACCCTCTCTCTTCCTGGCACAGAAAACACAAGGAGAAGGCAGTTGGACAGAAGCAATCCCCATTCAGGGCGGAAGGGCCCAAGTTTGTCTGATCTGCACATGAACAAAGGACAAGACACATCATGGCTGAGAGCACAAACCTGGCAGATGTTTCACAGGGAACAAAAAAACCAATGCACTAGAAACAACTTAACTTCCTTCCATTTTGGTTGTTGCTTTATTTCTTGTTGTTTTCTTACAATCATTATGCTTAAATATAAAAATTCCTGGCCAAAGCCACAGTTAGTTTTAAAAGTGATCCCATCTGCACTGGTACATGCTAAACATCACTAAAATCAGCTTCTGAAAACAAACTGGTAGAGACTCCTTACAGGCTGCTTTGCCTGACACATACAGAAAACTCCTCCCTTTCCAACTTGTGCAAATATCACCTCAGTTTGACAGAAAACGGTTACACCTGAGTGTTTCCACGCTTAGTTTTTCCCATGGACTCTTAACAAACGGTTCATGCTAAGCTGCACCGTTGTGATCCTTTTCAGCTGTACTGGGCATCCTCGTGAATCCCAGGAGTGCAGAAATGAGAATAAATGGAAAGACGCCATGAGGATAATACACTGCTCCTGGCACCTTTATTTCCAGAACTCTGGAAGAGATGCAGTGCATTGCAGATCAGCTGTTATTAAGGCACGTAGTGAAAATAAGTTTATCATCTTGGGCAATTCATCTCTCTGAGTCAAACATTCTGTGCCAGTAGTAGACAAAGGTTGGCGAGTTGCTGGCCCCTATCACTATCAGCAGCAGCAGGTACAGCATCATCATGACGGCAAAACGGTGGGTGTAGAACCAGGAAGATTCGCTAGAAGGCCTGAAAAGACAAAGGTGTGTAAACTCTGTCAGAGAAGCACAAATACTTTGGCCAAGAGTATCTTAAGTTTTGTCATTTCAAGTGGCTAAGCGAACGCCACAAAAACAGGATGTTGTTCCCTAATCCCTGCAACTATTAAAGCCTGACTGCCCATCCCTTTTTGCCAAGCCTCCATGCACAATCCTGGCCTTGCTCCCCGTGTTCCTGCCTTTCTCTGTGGTGTAGAGCTGTAACTGTCCAGCCTGCACACACACGGTGATGAGCTGGGTGAATGCTGCCACTCAGGATAGATAAGGGCAGAGGTAAATCTGCCCCAGTTTCAAGAGCTGCATTCAACAGAGCTTTGCTCTTTGCTTTCTGCCAGATTATCAGAGCTCTCAAAGGCACTGAGTGCTTGCAGGTCTGGTGAAAAAAACCCAACAAATTTAGTTGTGCCTGGAAGTTTGAAAGAGTGAGACAGAGGCAACATGATGGTGTAAGCCTTATTTCCACAGCAAACAGGCTAAGAACAAGTTCTGGCAGTGCAGCATGTTTTCTCTGCTTGTTTTCTGCTGTTTTTCAGAAATGAGATGTGTGTATCTGCCTGTTAGAGCATGCTCATCACTCCAAGTAGCTGAACTCTTACCTCCTGTGCTGTTTCTGTGAATACACTAGCAAGTATTTAACTCGGACAAGCTGATTGTTTGTGACAACGAAGTATTTCTGTGGCACGTCACCCCCTTCACTGTTTTTCACTCTTGCTCTTTTTCTGTCTATTTCTTCTGAATCTGAAGGAGAAAAAGAAAAAGCTCTTTAGGGGAACAGAAAAGCAGAACTGTAAAAAAAGCAGCTGTAAAAAAGTAAACAATCAACCCCCTCCAAGGGTGGGAATGAGATAACCCAAGTCTTGGTATTCCCCTGAATCCCTCAGCATCCAAGAATAGACTGAAAAGTTTGCTTGAGGCTAAACCACTCCTAGTCATCCTTGGTATGGGTGGAATTATGGCCCAGACCAGGGTAATAAGGAGGTGGGTCTCCCACATGATGCTCGGGGACCTGCTAATATTAATAAAGAAAAAAAAAACAAATTCCAGCATCAAAGCACTGAGTGAGCCCTGCAAGTAGGAAGCAGAGGAGAAGGCCCATCTGAGCAGAGGCTTCCTAGACATCTAATAAAGCTCATTATTGACACATTTGTGATGCTTCTGTTCCACCATAGCAGGAGAAACAATCAGGTGTTACGGAGCTTGACTTTATCATGCTGCTGAAACTAGGAAAAAAAAACGATGCCACCAAACTATTTTCTACTCCTCAAATATATTATTTTAAGAGAAGCTTCCCAGACAACGAGGCTGTTGTGCATTTGCTGAGGAGTCAGCCAGTAGAGGAGCCCAGAGGCAGTTTCTGCTGAAGGGTACCCACACTCCATACACTGCACTGTTTATATGACAGAATTTAGGCACCAAAGCTGAAATATGGGAAGTGCTAAGTAAGAGAAGAATGACACGTAGTTCTTATTGCCATGGACCCACCTTTCTTCTTCACCTGACACTTCACGTCGGGGTGGTCGATGATCTCGCAAACAGCCACGCAGCTCAGGATCGAGCCCAAGGCACTTCGCTGCCAGCCGAGACCGTGAGGGCTGTAAAGGAGAGCCAGGCTCAGGTCACTGGTAAGATAGGTACCCTCACCAAACAGGGATGTCTGAAACAGAGCAGAAAAAACATCCTAAAACCCTGTAACACAAATTGTAAACAATACACAAGCGTTCTTTGCTTTCAGACCAGCAGTTCTGTTTCTGAAGGTGAATTAAGAAAGGCTTTTCTGACCTGCGTTGGGCCTGACCCAGGCACTGGTTTTGTCCTGGCAAAACTTCCTCAGGGTGGGGCAGCTGCCCTCTCCCATCCCTCAAATTAGTTGCCTGGCACAGCCCTCGGCGTGGACAGATTCATGCTTTCCCGGATTTGGATTTACTTTGCCAGCGTAAGTATTTTATATCAACACGACTGTGCTGCTGTTAGAGGCATTTCACTGATTTATTGCGACTGCCATCATTCTGACAACCCACGCTCCACAAACACAGCGAGGCTTTACTCGTGTTGAAATCCATGCCTTACTAGAAAAAGAGGGAAGTACTTTTCAGTTGTGAATCCCTTTCAGATATAATTGTTTTAACAACTGCGTTAGAGGATTTGCCACACTGGCTAAAATTATTAATCCAGTAAAGTCCACTGTGCCTGATAAGCTGCCACTCATAAAGAACACTGGGGGAAAAACATCTTCTGGGTAGATGGGAAAGTTGAGCAGCTGCTGCATCAAAGCTGCTTTACAGACAACACGATTTTCCGTTGAAATCCAAGGTGGTACAAATCCTACAGGATTTGTAACGAGGCTGTTTAGAGAACGCTCCATTTGCAAGCAGCACCTCAATCTTTAGTTGATCTAAACTTGAAGCTGAGCAGAAAGAGAGAATCTCCTCCTCTGTGCACAGGCAGGCTGTTGGACAGGGCCGTATTTTCAGAGGCGTCACGCTTCCTTACAAAGCAACAAAGGAGAGGCATAAACTGTGGCACTGGAGAAAAGGGTGTTGTGCTACTTCCAGCTTTTACCCTCAGGCTACACTAGAAAAACTCAACACAACCATCTACAAAGGCCTACAGTGAAGTGAAACCAGCAGCGTAAGCATCATCAGCACATCTCATACCCCTCAAGGAATTTGGGCCTGTTTTTAAAAGGTGTCACTATCCACAAGTGACCAACAGAAGATGGTGCCAACACCAGGAGCCTCACCCTGTTCAGATGGCAGTGCAGGCCGTTGTGCAGGATGGAATGGAAGTTCTCGAGGCGGCTCCCGTGGAAGGCGTAGATGAGGTCCCGCTCTCCCTTGGTCTCAGCAAACTTGGTATCCATTTGATCGCAGTATGTGATCTCAAAGAGGTAGTCCGGAGCAGGAACCACAGCCCCAGACATCCCCGTGAGTTCTTGGATCTTCTCGTACTTGAAAACAGGAAGGAATGTAAGTGTTGGGTTTATGGGGTTAGATCACTCAATGGAAATGTGGCTTCCTGTCCCTTAGTCTTTCACGTCGCTTTAAGTATTTTGGTTATGCTTTCTGCATTAGAGTGCAACACTGTCACAATTCAGAAGGAGTAAGTGCACAGTAAAAATTCTGACAGTTTCTTGCTATCAATCCTAAATCCTCATTTTTTATTCCAGAACAAAACCCCTGAATCATGATAATGAACTAACTGATGATGTAAGGACAACGTCACAAATCCACTTTGGCTACTAAGACAATATATTCATTGGCTGATCTTGGAAGAGGAAAAAAAGTGACAACAGAAGTTGTTTTCACCTTGCTACTGATCTCTACAACTATTTTTACCCCTGTTACAGAAGTGCCTCACTGCCTCTCAACCTGTCCATTCTGGGGGCAGTATGCAGAAGTACTAAGTTGTTTTTCTCAGTGAAGAAGCAGGACGTAGCTCCATGACACCTGTCTCGGTCTAGAACGTGCTGGTACATGCTACGTTACTGGGAGTAACCAACTACAAGCAGTGCCCACCATCAACTACTGACAGCAATAATGATTTTTTCCAACCAGCATTCCTGAAAATTTTATTTAAAAAAAACAAAGCAAACAACTCTCCCTATACACAAGAAAAAAAACCTGCATTCATGTCGAACTGTCAATCTCCCACAATAACCAACTTACTTCTGGCAGGAGGAAAATACTCTCTGAAGTGCAAGTTTGCCTTAAAAGACAAACTGTAACCAAGGCTTTCAGAACTCAAAACTTACCTCCTGCTTCTTAGTGCTTTGTATCGTGAAGACCTTAGATGACAAAATCCAACTCAACAAATCCCAGGTCCTTTTCTCTGCGTTTGGAACAGACTCCAGAACTTCTTTCAGGCTTGGCAGAGCCTTGGTATCTGCAAGCTAATCAGACGGGTATTTAGTACAAGCTCCTTCTTTTCATGATGATTAAAGAGAGACCCCTAGTGAGAACAAAACAGCATTTCACCCCAGTCGGTTGCAAACTGAGCAGTTTCCCGTTCTGAGCTAGAAACGTTTGTATGCAGTTTGCGAGAAAAGTTTGCCACTTGTCCTAAAAATAAACACCCGACAGGTTACGGAACGCTTGTGCCTGCTCACAACGTCTGCGGGGCTGGCCCGAGAATAATGAAAACCCAACCCCTGCAAGCGGGAGGAACGAGGAGGGGGGTTGCCCAGGGAATG